ACAGGCGGGTGACGGTGGGAGTCAGAGAGCTTTTAGGAGGAGGTGGCACTTGAGCTCAGTCCTGAGGGACGCAGGGAGCTGGGTGCAGAGGTTCAGAAGTGGGGAAGCATTTGTCGGGACCCAGACGTGCACGTCAGCCAGAGTGGCTGGGACACAGTGAGTGGGGTGACACTGGAGGGCTGGGCAGGGGCCCAGCGTGCAGGGCTCTGTAGGCTGTGGGCAGACTTTGCAGTTTATTCTGTATGTAATGGGAAGCCATTAGTGGGTTTGAGCTGGGCTGGAGGGACGAGGGGGAACACTGTTCACCTGACACTGTTTAGAAAGCAGCTCTCTGACTGCTGTGTTGAGAATGGGCCAGAGAGGAGCAAGAAGGAAGGGGGAACTAGGAAGCCTGGTCCGTGCAGATAAAAAAGGTGGGGCTTGCATCGCAGCCGTGACAGTGGGATGGGAGACGTGGACAGTCCAAAGTATCTGCAGGTGTAAGAAGGGACAGAAGCTGAGGTTGCCTTGGAGACAAGACGGGGGTCCAGGAGGACGTCCAGGCTTCTGGATTGACTAAGGGAAGGAGGTGACATGAGTGAGGGAGGAAGGTGGCGGGAGGAGCAAGTCCAGGGAGAAATGCAGGGTGTGTCCAGGATGGTGTGAGATGCGCGCTGAGATGTCTGGGGTCCAGCTCGAGGACCCAGTCCAAGGCTGAGACAAAGGCTCAGCCAGAGACGGACAAACGGAGCACCTGTGACTGAGCACCTGTCAACAGGTATTTACCCACGTGCCAGGCACTCAGGAAGGAGCAGTGGATATAACAGACACGATCCCCTGCCTTCATGGCGCTTAGGAGATGACACTGGGGAGAGGAGTGACAAATACATAACCGGACAGCATGTCACTGAGCAATGCGGTGGGGAAAATACAGCAAGGAAAGGGACAGGGAGCGGGGGTGGGGGAGGGTACGGGGTTGCCTTTTATAATAGCGGTCAGTGGAGCCCTCACTGGTAAGACAACATTTTAGCAAAGACCGGAAGGAGGAGAGAGGCAACCGTGCAAATATCTGGGGAAATATGTTTCCAGACAGAGGGAACCGCAGGTGCAAAGGTCTTGAGGCAGAAGTGAGCCTGACACACGTACCTTCTAGGAATAGCGAGGAAACCAGTGTGGCAAGGATGAGATGAATGAGGGGCGGCCTAGTAGGAGATACAGTCAGACTGAAGGCCTTCTTGGTCCTTGAAATAAATCTGGTTTTTACTGAGTGAAATGTGAAGCTATTGGAAGACGGTGAGCAAAGGCGCTAGCTTAGCTTTTAGCAGGATCGTCCTGGCGGCCGGGCTGAAGAGACGAGGTCCCAAGGGGACAAGGGCAGCAGCAGGGAGACCGGCAGAGGCCACGGCAGCACTCCAGCTGAGACAGCTGACAGCTTAGTCCAGAGTGCCGATGGCAGAGGCGGTGAAAGGCAGTGAGACCTGGGTGACTTCTGTTGGACTGCATGTAGCATGTGAGGGGAACGCAAGAGTCAAGGTGACTTGGGGCTGGGGCTGGGCAAGTGCAAGAACTCCCCGTGGACAGAGGAGCAAGGCCAGGTGCGGACTCGCCCTGACAGAAGCCGGACCCAGGGAGGCCCCTGGTCTCCCCGCAGACCATCAGCAGCCCGAGAGCAGGGGCTGGTTCTGAGCTACGAGGGGCCCAGCACCCACAGCAGCTCAGACAGAGCGCGTGCTCAGGAAGGGTTTCCTGCATGACTGCCATGTGGCTGGAGAGGTTTCCACCCTGGACCACAGGCTCTGACGTCTCTCGCCCTCCACGGCCCAAGCAATACATAATAAAACTTCCATAAAACAAAACCCAAGTGGGAGTTGATTTGCTAAGAGCGCACCGAAATCACCGTGGGTGCTGTTTCCTCACCTGCGCGTTTCTGGTCGGCCCGGGCTTTCTCCCACTCCCTCTGCTGCTGCAGGAACCATTCTCTGTTTTGTTCCTGTTGGAATCTCTGCCTCGCATGGAAGTTTAAATCCTCTCCCATGAACCTCTGCATCCCCGACACTGTGTTCCGCGCATCGCTGTCTCCCTGCCTGGCGGGGAACTCTCTCCTGCGGGCGAGGGGGTCCAAAAGGTCGAATTCCCGCCGGGTCTCCGGCTTCTGGAAGCTCTGCTGGAAGTCGCGGAGAGCTTTGCAGAGATGTCTCCGCCCCCTTCGTTCCCGGTTCTCTAATATGCACATCATTTTGTCATTGCGCCTCAGTTCAGCAGCTAGAAGAGACATAGGTTGTCCATAAGCTTAAGATTCAGTGGGAAAAATCAATTGGATTCCACCTTAAAAAATAATTTTTAGTGATTCTAAAAGGAATAAAACCCTCCAAAAACGTAACATCCATTCAAAGACTAGAATCCTGAATGTACAAAGGTTTTGAGTCCGATGCCTGGTCTGGGTACATTCCTAGATTTCGGGTTCGAACCCTGGTCGGGGCTCATATGGGACGCAACCAATTGATGTTTTCCTCTCACTTTGATGTTTCTCTCTCTCTCCTCCCCCTTCCTCTCTCTGTAAAAAAAACCCCAAATCAATAAAAACATATCCTTCAGTGAAGGTTTTAAAAAATACAAAATTAAATATTTTAACTTTTTTAAAAAAATATATATATATATATATTATTTATTTTTTACAGAGAGGAAGGGAGAGGAATAGAGAGCCAGAAACATCGATGAGAGAGACACCGATTAGCTGCCTCCTGCACACCTCCCACCGGGGATGTGCCTGCAACCAAGGTATATGCCCTGGACCGGAATCGAACCTGGGACCTTTCAGTCTGCAGGCCGACGCTCTATCCACTGAGCCAAACCAGCCAGGGCACAAAATTAAATATTTTAATAGGTCGCAAAGGATCTATTCAATATTATACCAGTTATTTTAAAGAGGGAGGAAGAAAAGAATGACAGGGTGGGGAATATACATATATTTTCAAAAATCATTCTTAAAATATATCTAAAGCCCATTTGGCAAAAAGGTAACATCTAATCTAGTGGTGGGTGCATGTGTATGTGTCACATCATTTTTGTGAGTTTGACTTATTTTTAACCGTTTGGCTGCTGACGTATTTTTTCGGACATATGCCAAAACTGCGGCACTAATTGCGCATGTATGGGAAAAAATGTAAAACACTTTTTATACAATAAACTCACTTGTATTGCTTTGCAACAACAAAAATTAAAAAATACCAATTGTTTACATAAATTTGTTTTAATTAATTTTGTGAATAAAATTGGCATTGTTTTCACCGTTATTTAACAGAAAAAAAGTAGATTTGAAATATGTAATATTATTAGAACAATTAAAAATCGTATGCTCCGAAAACGCAACGTGCTTCACTGGACGCACACATTCTAGTGTTTGGAGCAGCATTGTCACGCTCTCCGCCGTCTTGGCATAAAAAAAACAGGAGCGCTGTCGCGCGCTTCGCATTTTTGGAGTAACATAAGAAGAGCGATAGCGCTCCTTAGCAGTCAAACGGTTAAACTAAAAATATAAAAGGGAAAACATTAAAAAACATAGAACTGTATAAAGAAAATAAACTTCACTCTTAATTTCATCACTCCAACATTACAACATTTGGCCTATTTACTTTCTTTTTCTAAGCATGTCTTCCACATGTTTAAAAAGGTAACCGAGTACCCATTGTATATTAAATTTTGTACCCTGCTTTTTTTCATTTTTTTTAAACAGGAAAAAATAACCAAATTTATTATATATGTACATATGGGAGTTCTGTAAGAATATGGGGCCCCCTCGTCTGCCTATTTGAAAATTTCTTACAGTGCTTTATGAAATAAACTCAAAGTGTTGCACATGATGAGAATGCTGCTTGAAACTTTTATCTAAAAGCAAGAACACTATCATTTGAACTATGCCTGGTTCTGACTCAGCTTGGGGGCGCGAGCTGGGGTCTGAGTGTGTCACTAGTGTAAGAGCTGTCCCCGGCAGAAGATCTTGAACTCTCAGAAGAGTGTGTGTGTGTTTAAGGCTTTTCATATCCAGTTGGTGTGTTTTTTTTTGGAAAACACATTTATCCTCAAAATGTATTTTTTAGAGCACACACAGGATTCAATAGCTGTTTTTCTTTTAACAGAGGGAGAATCAGTGCATTAAGTTGAGCACAAGCAATTGTGAAATTTTAAAAGGAGGAAGAGAGGAAAAAGGACCAGCTCTCACACAGGTGAAGAATGAGGGCTGGTGTCAAAGGCATGCAGCCCTACCCTGCTAGACAGACGTCTAGGAAACGCTCACCAAACGTTTCGTGCCTGGCTTTCTCAGTTGCTTCTTTTATCTTCCGGTCACACACCTGAATATCCCAGGTTTTTGTATCTCCCTGGAATGGAAAACGAGGGGAGAGGAGTTAAAATCAGATAAATGTATCCCGTTATTAACAATCCTACTTACCTCTTTATCCTCGACCAACTGTCTTAGTTTCACACCAGGTCTTTTCATACCTGAATGCCTTTGCTTATAGTTGGTTCTTCAACCTGTCCTCTTAACTTCCCTCAGAGCTTCCTTCCACCTGACCTTAGTTTACAGATACTCATCCTCACAACACTGCTTAGGCATCACCTCCTCTGGGAAGCCCTCTCTGATCCCCTCTTCCAGCCCCAGTCTGCATTCCCCTCCTTCACTACATTTTAATGTCTGCCTCCTCCACTGGGCCGTAAACCCTGAAGGTCAAGAATTGCCTCATTCCTCATCTCCTGGGCCCAGTTCAGGCTTGCCACAAAATAGGAATTTTGTCAAATGGACGGACTGAAAGGAACCCCTGACAATGTAGAAAATCTGGCTCTGAGAGAGGAGAGCCCCATTCTAGTCTCTCCTTGGCCACAAACTCCGAGCGGCTCCCTCCCACTGCAGGACTCCATTTGCCTGTCTGGCAAGTGGGAGGGAGTATAATTGTTCTGTTAAGGTTTCTCTCATTCTCAGCAAAGTCAATATATCCTCAGCCTGCTGCCATCTGCAGCGGCGCCTGGATCAAGTTTCACTGGAGGGATTCATCTCTTCCTCTCTCCCACGCCTACCTCTCGCTCCCAACGGGCCCTCCACGTTCCCTCCGGGCCCCTTTCCCTGTGGGGACAAGCGAGCGTCCTACCCCCAGGATCCTGTTCCTGGCGTTGAAGATCTGGTTCTGCCTGCACAGCTCCGCATGCCTCCTCCTGGCCACGCAAAAGGACTGCTCCAGGTCGTTGGGCTGCACTATATCCATGGCTGGGAATCCCCACGAAGCTCTGAGAGCCTTTAAAACGCACGAGTTAAAAAGAGAAGACCACAACAAGTCAAACCGCAGCCCGGCCGAGCGATGGAGGCTGGCTCCCTGGGCGGTGAGCCGGTGGGGTGTGCGCCTGCTCCCCTGGCTTCCCACACAGCCTCCTGCGACCGCCTCCCGGGCCGCGTTTCCTAGGCAATGTAAACAGCCCGGTTGCTAAGGAACGGCGGCACGCGCCGTGTTCTCGCTCTCCTCTCGCGAGATGCTGTGAAGGCTTTCCCGCGCTTTTCCCGCCCCGCGTGTGAGGACACCGCAGAGGCGAGGAGGGCGCAGCCATGGGCCGTTTGGAGCTGCTGCTCGTGGAGAACTTCAAGTCCTGGCGAGGCCGCCAGGTCATCGGCCCTTTCAGGAGGTTCACCTGCATCATCGGCCCC